AGTCTGGCTTTGGTCCTTACCCCAAGAGATCCACACCATAACCCAGACCTGGCCCACATATTAGTGCCACGCCCCCTCCGCCCCCTCTACCATCCTCCCACCCCCCTCCGCCACTTTCATCTGTTCTGTTCCCAGTCCTAGTTCACACTGACACAGAACCAGCTGCCTGGGGCCACAACACAGGCTCCCTGCCTGCTGCTCTGTAGCTCACGGTCACACTGCTGCCACCCACCTTCCCAGCCCAGCTTGCTCCCAAGAGACCGAGGCTCTAAGCCCCGAGACCCATGATCTACAGCCCCCTACAGACAGGTAGCTGTAACTACTCAGCTAATTACAGCTCAGGAAGCACTGTTTCTGCACCATTTCCAAGCCAGATACCCCCTGCTGTTGTGCCGGGAGGGCCCCCTAGAAGGCATTTAATACTGCTACCCTGAGGCCACGTCACTCAACCCGCGAAATCCTGAATGTCCCACCTGGATCCCCAGTGCCCACCGCCCACCACTCAGACTAGAGCTGAGAGACCCTAAGCTGAGAACTAGGAGCCACTGCTTCTACGCGGTAAGAGCAGCTCCGGGCAAAGCCTTCCTGCCCATGACTGCCTCCAGGGACAGGGACTGCCTGACTCGGACTTGGAGTGCTCTGAGAAGAGAGGTCTGAGATCCCCAGATAGGGGGGGAAGACATGGTTCATTCTTTCCCTGCTGTCAGGGGACCATGATTAGTGACACGAGCCATCTCCACCAAGGACAGAGCCAAGTGGCCCTAGGATTAGAGGCCGCTCCACCCAAAGGCGGCATGTTCACGGAGCCCAGCTGGGTTCTGCTAAGGGCGCCGGGTGCCTGGAGGCGCCTCACTGGGAACTCTGGGTGACCGAAGGCCCCACTTCCTGCCGGTCAAGAAAAGTCCCTCCCCAACTGAGCCCTTCACTTTCAATTCTCTGGGCCAAGCTCATCCGTCAAACAGACTTGTTGGGAGTCGGTAAGGTGCCATTTCCCTGCTTTACGCGGTCTGACAGGCCAGGATGAGGTGGTGTAGGAAGCCCTGATCCCCCTGAGTTCTCAGAAAGGGCTGCCTTCATGCGTGCACGTGCACACACACGTGCACATGCACACTTCAGCCTTAAGAAGGCTCTGTGTGATTCAACGCCATCCCAATCAGAATCCCAATGACATTCTTTACAGAATTAGAACAAAGAATCCTAAAATTCATATGGGGCAACAAAAGACCCCGAATTGCTAAAGCAATCCTGAGAAAAAAGAACAAAACGGGAGGCATCACAATCCCTGACTTCAAAATATACTACAAAGCTACAGTAATCAAAACAGCATGGTACTGGTACAAAAACAGGTGCACAGATCAATGGAACAAAATTGAAAGCCCAGAAATAAAACCACACATCTATGGACAGCTTATCTCTGACAAAGGAGCTGAGGGCATACAATGGACAAAAGAAAGTCTTTTCAACAAATGGTGCTGGGAAAACTGGAAAGCCACATGTAAAAGAATGAAAATTGACCATTCTTTTTCACCATTCACCAAAATAAACTCAAAATGGATTAAAGACCTAAAGGTGAGACCTGAAACCATAAGGCTTCTGGAAGAAAACGTAGGCAGTACACTCTTTGACATCAGTAGTAAAAGGATCTTTTCGGACACCATGCCTTCTCAGAGAAGGGAAACAATAGAAAGAATAAACAAGTGGGACTTCATCAGATTAAAGAGCTTCTTCAAGGCAAATGAAAACAGGATTGAAACAAAAAAACAACCCACTAACTGGGAAAAAATATTTGCAAGTCATATATCTGACAAAGGCTTAATATCCTTAATATATAAAGAACTCTCGCAACTCAATCACAAAACATCAAACAACCCAATCAAAAAATGGGCTGGAGACATGAACAGACATTTCTCCAAAGAAGATATACTGATGGCCAATAGGCACATGAAAAGATGCTCATCATCGCTGATCATCAGGGAAATGCAAATCAAAACTACACTAAGATATCACCTTACACCCGTTAGAATGACAAAAATATCTAAAACTAATAGCAACAAATGTTGGAGAGGTTGCGGAGAAAAAGGAACCCTCATACACTGCTGGTGGGAATGCAAACTGGTGCAGCCACTATGGAAAACAGTATGGGGGGCTGGCCCCGTGGCCGAGTGGTTGGGTTCGCGCGCTCCGCTGTAGGCGGCCCAGTGTTTCGTCAGTTCGAATCCTGGGCGCGGACATGGCACTGCTCGTCAGACCACGCTGAGGCAGCGTCCCACATGCCACAACTAGAAGAACCCACAACGAAGAATACACAACTATGTACCGGGGGGCTTTGGGGAGAAAAAGGAAAAAATAAAATCTTTAAAAAAAAAAAAAAAAACCAGTATGGAGATTCCTCAAAAAACTAAAAATAGAACTACCATACGATCCAGCCATCCCACTACTGGGTATTTATCCAAAGAGCCTGAAGTCAGCAATCCCAAAAGTCCTGTGCACCCCAATGTTTATTGCAGCACTGTTTACAATAGCCAAGACGTGGAAGCAACCTAAGTGTCCAGCAACAGACGAATGGATAAAGAAGATGTGGTACATATATACAATGGAATACTACTCAGCTGCAAAACAGAACAAAATCATTCCATTTGCAATAACATGGATGGACCTTGAGAGAATTATGTTAAGTGAAATAAGCCAGCAAGAGAAAGATAATCTGTGTATGACTCCACTCATATGAGGAATTTAAAACTATGGACCAAGAACAGTTTAGTGGATACCAGGGGAAAGGTGGGGTGGGGGGTGGGCACAAAGGGTGAAGTGGTGCACCTACAACATGACTGACAAACATTAATGTACAATTGAAATTTCACAAGATTGTAACCTATCAATAACTCAATTAAAAAAAAAAAAAGAAGGCGGCTCTGTGCTACCTTCCTTTTCTGGGCCCAGACTCTTGAGTTGCTCTCTTTGCCCTGGTTTTCTATGTGGGTTTTCTTTTTAACCTGAACCTCCCAAGACATAAGTGGCATTTAACCCTGTGAGTCTAAAGGCCTTCACAGTCACAAGCTAACTGAAGGCGGTCCCCACCTCCTGAGGCCCAGGACACTCGGGCAGACCTGCCTCCAGAAGGAAGCAGAGCCTTGCCCTCGCGAGGGTCGGGTGGAGACTGGGCTATTTTGAATCTGCTGGAATCAAATAGCCGCCTGCTTATTTTTAGCAGGTCCATTTGCCTGCGAATAGATGCATGCTGGCTGGCTGCCCAGTGGTCACACAGGGCTGAAGGCAGGCACGAGCCACAGCCCCACCACAGGCCTCAGCTTCACCTGCTAACTCCAGCTTCTAAAGGGATTCCTTCTTCTCCCAGAGGAACCTGCACTTCTCAGAACAGCTTACCTCTGCAGAAGCAATGGCCTCCCAACCCCAACGACCAACGGGTCACCACAGTCTAGAGCCTTCTGCTAAACAAGAAGACAAATCTCCAGGAATGGTACAAAGAGTGTTGGTCCCAGTGACTAAGCCAATTTGGAAAAAGAGCTACACATAATTAATTGATGGGAAAGTCAATCATAAAAACAAGAGCTTAGGAGCCAAGAACAAGTCAGGGCTTGGGCCTGGTATGGGATGCCACACCCACTCTGTGTTCTGAATGGACTTTTACAGACCCTCTAGGTTGAAATTTGAACATATCTTCCATTATTCCAGGGTTATGTGTTCACACTGTGAAAGACTGTCCCCAGTGTTCACCAACAGGAGGAGTCTCAAGACACTCCCTCTCTACTGTGCCCAGCACATCAAGTCCTTGCTGAGGGGCTTTCCCTTGAAGAAGGCCTTCCAAGGAGAGGCAATAGCCACATGGTCCAGAACCGAAAGCCCAGCACTGGCTGCCTCGCACTCAGGCCAAGGCCCCTCCCTCCCTCCTCCCCTTCCCTCCCCAAGTATGCTGGAGGAAGACCACAAACACAGAGGTCTTTGCAAGACCACAAGAGTGCCTCTTGGTTTGTAGAGGGTGCAGTTACCTAATTCCGCACCAGGCTGAGATCAGGCACATACATTCAAATATGTTTAAGTTGCTGCAAGAAAAAGTTTCTGTCCACCAGAAGCTCACAATCCAGGTGGAAGAATCTCTGTGTGTGCGTCTCTCTCACACATCCCTGCATCAAGCTGAGCTCGATTTCAGAAGTGGGCAAAGAGAACCCAAGGAAGGCTGTCTCAAAGAAGGCGAGAATCTCCTGAGGCTGCTGCAATGGCGGGTTAATGACGTAAATTAAGGTTCTAAACCCAAGGTGCCTTTGTGGGTGGAAGCAGGCAGCCAGTCCCAGAGGAGAGCAGAAGAAGTCCTAGGAGCTGAAGCTGAAGAACTGGGAGGGGCCAGACAAAAGGAGTTTGACCTTTACTGTCAAGGCAATGGGAACCACAGGGTCGCAGCAGTTGTGAGATGGCCAAAGCAGAGCAGGTCACAAGAGGCAAAGGTCTGAGTGATCCCCAAGTGGCAACTGCAGTCTAATATTGGCAGCCACTTAGTCACAGGGGGCTACTAAGCACCTGAAATGTGACCAGTGTGACTGAGGAACTGAATTTTAATTTAACATTAATTTAAATATAAGTAGCCACAGAGAGCTGGTAGCTACCTAGTAACGCAGCTCTAGAGGGTGTTCCCAACAGAACTGAAGGAAACCTAAGAGCTGGATAAATGCGACCATGGCCAACGCCTACCTTGCTGGGCAGTGTTTGGTCCTGCCACTGAGGGTGAAGGATGATGGTAAGCTGGGCCACTCAACCTCAGCAGCATGGCTGGGGCCCAGGGATCAGAGTGCTGGAGCCATGCCTCAGGCGCGTTGGTCTCAGCCCAGCCCCGGTGTTCACAGGCTCGTTACCTTCATCCTTAGCGGGCCTGAGTGAGCTGTGACTTACAGTGGCACCCTATAGATTCCCAATTAGCTCACAGAGGGGCTGTGAGGTCCTGCCCAGGGCTGTCCCCCACACCCTCCATTGTGATGGTCCCGCAGAGCAGCCAGCTGCCCAGTGCAGCTAGACCAGCCACACGCCCCGTTCTGGGTAAACCAGCTGTCCTCACGTCACAGAACATTTTCCAGCCTGCTCTCCGGGAGACTGGAGGCTTAAGCCAGTAACATCACCTGCTCGGGGAAGCCTTCTCCAGCCAAAGTGGAAACCTAGAGTTAGGTACCAGGAGCTCCAGGTAAGAAGAGACAGAAGTGAAAAATCCCATCCTGGGCATGGGCTCAAGTTAAGAGCTCCTCCTCCTCCCGTTCAATAAAAAATTAAACTCACTCCCAGTTTGGAAAAGTTGGTACAACAGAGAACCACACCAGGGTGAACTGCCCAGACCCCTCCTCCTCTGCTGACCAACCCCACGGCAGGTCCAACCTCATCAGGCTTCAAGCGATAAAGGAAAAAACCAGCACTTCCTACAAAGGTCTTCCCATTGCTTCATTTAGAGGGTAGGAATGTGGTTTCAGAAAACTTTAAAGACTGCGCCACGTACACCCTGCCCCTCACCCCCAGCTTGTGGCACTCATCTTGCTTTACAAGTGAATTCGGACAGGTTTCTGAGAATGGCGAAAGCAGGTGCCAGGAAAGCCTTCCTGGGTACACAGAGTTCCTGCCCACCACAGAACTCTCCACGAGACGGCCCAGAAGGTATGAAGCTGTGATCCGACAACGAAAATGACGTCACTTAAAAGCTAATAAAGATGACACATGCCTCCAAAAGGAATCAGAAAAGATGTCAGTGTGAGGCGAAACCCCTTCACACCACCACCTCAACGGGGCAAAGAGGTAAGACACTGATTTCCCAAAAATTAGTGCGAACAGTGCAATATGACCAACTCAGAAATCACAAAGGCATAAAGTAATTTCTATTCATCCAATTTTATTGGCACTTACAGGGTACAAAGCACAGTGGGACACACAAATGAATCAGACAAATGCACTGTTCTCAAGGCACTTTCAAATCTTCCAGTTTCTTTTAGGGCAAAAACCCCCAATGACTTCTCCTCCAGTGGACCTGTTACTGTCACCCCCTGCCACCGACCAACTGAGAAGTCTGGTCCAACAGTCAGGCAAGTGTCTTAACTAGGGTTGGGGGGAGGGTAAACAGGAATCAGGCTGCCAGTTTCTCCAGATTAGAATGTTCTAATGTCCTGGGGTGGGAGATGAGAGGATCTCAGCCTGAAAGCCAGCATGTGGGAGCCAAGGGCTAGTTGACCTGCACCATTCAATACGTAGACTTTCATTCAGCACCCATTTTCACCACTACCTGGTGCTCAAATCCAGATCCCTCTCATTTAAGCTACTCCATAAAGTAAAGCCAGATCTTGTACTGGAGTGGCAGAAGGCATCTGGGGGCCTAGTCATCTCTGTCAACTTTCCACCAACCCTTTTGTCTTCAGCCACCCACCCCCAGCAACCCCGCAACCCATGCCTTCAAAGGGGCCTGTCCCTGTGCTTGAATCAGCTTGCTTCTTGTTGGCTGCCCACCCTCACACGCTTTCTCAGCAAGCTGCCGGAAGATGGCCTCACCAAGACAAGGGAGTAAACTAAGAAAGGAGGGGGGCACCAACCCAGGAAGCTCCACAAGAGGAGGGAAGAAGGACTTCCCAGGATGAAGGGGAAGCAGAGCCAGGGACGGGGTGCTTCCCAGGAGCACCGCACAACTGCCACGTACCCCGAATGTCGAAGCACAATGAGAGGAGTTTCCCCTCCGAGGACAGGAGCTCGACAGCATGGCCAAGGCCCAGGGAAGAGTCAGAGTACTGGTGAGAGACAGAGGAAACTAAGCTAAAGACATAAAGGAAATTAACTGGGAGAGGAGAAGGGAAGGGGGGGACAAGAAAGCAAACATGGAAAACTAAGAACTCTGCAGCCAGAAGCAACATCTATAACAATGTACACTCCGAACAGCAACTTGACCACGTTGTGCTACCTCTGCACCAAGAGGATGAGGGCGGAAAACGTGTAGGACTGAGCCAAGCAGCAAAGCAAAACAGACAACATTAAAAAGGAAGGAGAGGAGGGCATACTATCTAGAAATAGAGGTAAATGGCGGAAAGGACAGGGAATTGAGAGCAGCTGCCTCTGGAAGAGAACAGGATGGGTGGGGGGCACTCAGGGCAAAGAGCTGTTCTTCCAAACCTTGTTCAGAGTCAAAAGTCAAATCCTTCCACCAGCAATGCTCTGATAGAAAATAAATACATTCTTAAGCTATATAGAAGTAGCAATGGATGCTCCATTACCATACAGCTTTGTTTCTTGTTAACCATTATAACAAATAAATACGTATTAAGTCAATTCATTTATGTACAAATTTGTAATGCTTTATTTTCCCATAATAATTGATGCCAATTTTGCTCCAGAGATCCCCAACTGCCCTGCTGACAAAATAGCAATAATCAAAAAAAGGACGTGCTTATTGATAGTTGGACCCTTTGGAGCCATGGGATCTGGTCTCTGCACTCCACCACCAGCATCAGGTAGCAGGACCCCTCAGGGCTAGTCATTTAATAAAGACTTTAATGCCCGCTGTGAGCTGGGTTCCATTGCAGATGCAATGGAAAGAGCCCTCAGGAAGCAAAGGTGGAGGGAGGGGTAGGGAGTCACATTTCAGATAACAAGATAGCAAAGAAGATTCAACAACCAAACATAATAAACCTGCAGCCTCTCTCCACCGGTTCAGAGAACTGAGCCCTAGGCATCCCGTGTATGTAATGAATTAACTATACTCCCTGTGCATCCAGAATGGTACTAGTTGGGAGAGCTGAGAAACAGGCACTGGATCACCTCTGAGTTCTGTAGCTTAGATGAGGAAACCAGGATGAGAAAGGTGGACAAGCATGCTGGGGAGAGCGGGGAGCTTTCGATACAACAGTATGGGAACGCCTCTCCGAAGAGGTGGCTGCAGAGCTGGAGCAGCCCTGCCAAGATACGGGAGGACAGGGAAAGGAGAGGGGGAGAAAGTTCCAGGCAGGGAGAACGTGTGCCAAAGTCCTAAGGCAGGAACAAGCTTGGCTGACTCAAGAGACAGCAAGAAAGGGAGGCGAGGACGAGGTCAGAGGGCTGCTGCCAGAAAAACGGCTTCCCAGCATCACCGGGCAGAAGCACTGCTGAAAGTCAAGAACCCGGAGGAACAGGTTCCCCGAACTTCCTCCAGAGAGGGGAACCGACTTGTACCAAGAGCCAGGGGGCGGTAGTTTCTTAATTAATAAACAGAAGCTGATTCCAGAAACTATTCCAGAAACAGGATGCCTCTGTGGCTGGTGGCATGACAGGTACACAATGTGTAAGTACACAGGGACTCATTTTTCACTTCGAGTTCTCAGCAAGTGCATTTGCCAGGAAGACCTGGGCTTGCATCACACAACAGTCTTCGAGAGCCTCGGCTAGACCCTTACCCTCAGCTCGCACCCCCTCAAAATAATCTGTTCCAATAAGGTGGTGTTGCCCCGGGGGGGGGTGGCTGGGGACAGACACACACAGTGCCCCACACCAGCCCTTGCTGCTACTTCGAATCAGACTTTGTGAAAACAAGCTCGCTCTCCAGCCAACATAAACCATAGGCAACAGAGGACCTTATATGGCTCGAAGCTTTCTTAATCAGAAACAAATAGATGGGCTGGAGTTGGCAGCTCCAAATTAGACAGAAGGAACAGAAAAAGAAAAAGAAAAGAAAGGGTGGCGGCGAAGCCCAGAACTTGTGTGTCACACTCCTTGTTCACATCTCCTCAGCCTCAGTGGCTCCCCACTAAGACTTCCTACTGAGGGAAATGGCTTTGCCTCCTCTTATGCTTTTCTTTTAGTTTAAGCCAAAGGACTCCAGTAATCAGGCTGCCAGCAGATCCACAGTTTTACAGAGTTTTTAGTGCCACTTTAATAACCTGCCCTTAGGTTGGGTCACTTCCCATGAAAATGGGATTACGTGATTTCCTGAGATTGGCTGGTGAGGCAACAAGGGGTCCTCATGCCCCTCCACAGGGAATTCCTGGCTCACTGGACTGCCTCGGTCACATGCGGGCCTGGCCCAGGAGGCAGGGTTGGGTCCCTGCCACAGAGCTGGAATAGAAAAGGCAGTTCCAGAGACCTGCTAAGGGGCCACCTCCCACACATACACACTCCATGACAGTTTCTAGGGAGGCTTTTCTCTCCTTCTTCTCCTGATTTGGAGGCAACAGCAGCTTTGGCACCAGGACCTGCCCTGTACACTGAAGCCACATGCACTTGGCCCTCCTAAAGGATGCCACCTGCTAAAAATAGCACAGTAGCACATTCCTGGCCGGGTGGGCCTCACCAAAGTCAAAGGACAAAGCAGGAAGGTTATTCTCAGCACAGCCTTTTCTAACCAGAGACAGCTCAGGGCACATCTGAGTGCAGGCCTCCTTCCAAGGCAGCTCAAGGCAAGTCACTCCTGCTCCTTTCTCTTTGGAGGGAGAGCAAGGAGGTGCAAGAAGGAGATCTCCAGAAGACTGCACTGGCCTTCAGAGCTGTTGTCCCAGGCCAAGGCTGGAGGAGAAGGGGCGGGGGTAGCAGTGCGGCGTGGGGCTGATGGCTGGGATTGAACAGATCCTGTTTCCTCCTCCAACAGGGACCAAGCTACTCCCGGGTGACAGCCTGCTGAGGGCCAGGGGATGGTCTCGTGACCTCCATGTGAGGTCTGACAGGCCACATTATTATTAGCCGGGGAATCAGTTAGTTCAAGGTTGTCTTTTCAACCAGGCAACTGAGCTAAACCATAGCCTTCAGAGCAGTTTTGCAGGCCCTAAGGCACAGCTACCTAGTCTAGGAGGCTGCCTTAGTCATAGTCATTATTTGTGTAGCTCAAAGGCACTGAATGGTTGCATAACATGATGATAAAACATGGCTTAGGAAAGCCAAGATCATTAAAGATCCTGAAATTCAGTTTCCTGGAAAATGAAAATATTCTGTAAAATGGGATACGATCACCTCCCTCATAGGGCTGAAATGACTCAAAACACCCAACAGTCTGACTCAGTTTGTGGGATAAACGATTTTAATCTTTTAAAAACCCAGTTTCATTTTCCGGATAAGGATGGAGGGACAATGGGGCAGTAAATATGAAACAGTCTCTGAGCATTAAGCTGGAGACAGAGCCTCGATCTAGGTCCAAGGTCAGCCCAGCCTTCACTGTGCCCTGGGATCAACTTACTTCCTCAGAGCCTCAGTTTCCTCATACAGCCTAGAAATACTTAACCTCATAGGGCTGAGGGAATAGAAAAGGGAATCGTTTGGAAAAAAAAAACCCCTAAGATGCCAGGTATACAGTAGATGCTCACTAAGTTTCTGTTATGCATCTTAAGCTGTCCGGCTCCAAGAAAAGAGAGATCTCACATTACATGTCAAAGGTCAGTCTAGCAGAGTTCAAACTGAGCAGGCCGAGGACTGAGATGAGGGGGCATCTGGAAATAAAGCCTGCGTCCCAGAGCCAGCCCCACACCAACACTTCAGGATCCCCACTGCGGCCCGACTCTCCTCAGCGCCTTCTGCAACAATGCAGTGGAGGCGCAGGATAAAAATGAGGCTGGTTAGCAAGGTGTCTGCAATTGGTCTAGCAGAGGGCCCACACTGGGGTCCTGCAGGAAGTCATCAGGTGGGTGAAGGACCAAGTAGCAGCTATGCTGACGTGTGAAGACCAAGGACAGTGAGCGCGGGGCTTGGAGAACCAGCAAGGACCTTCATGAGAACAAACAGGGTCTCACGCCAAAACAGCTTCCCAAGGGCTTGGCATCTGGTCCTTCTGCTTCACGCTCCCGTCCCCAGACCCCTCACTATGCTCCTCTCTCAAACTGTTTCATAATTGATAACCGCCCTCCCAACTGGCAGGCCGGAACTTGCTTCTTAACATGCCATGGAGAGCGCTGATACATAAATAATTTGTCACCAAAGCTGTTGGGTCTGTGGACTATGGAAGACTAAGCCCAAACAACCTTTCAGAGTTGGGCAAAGAACTAAGACCAGCACCATCCAATAGAACTTTCTGTGATGATGAATATGTTCCAGACCTGCACCGTCCAGTACTGCAGCCACTGGTCACAAGAGGCTACTGAGCACTTGAACTGTGCCTGACGTCACTCACGAACTGATTTTTAAATTTTATTTAAAATTTAGGATTTATTTAGGAGATGAGAATAGAGGTATCTTAGAAATCAAAAATATTTAGCACAGCAGCACCTTAGAGCTAAGAGAACTTGAGATGCACCTGAAACAGTGGATTGAGGGTTCTTAGTCTTGGACTGTACTACCCACTGAGCCATGCGTCAGAGCCCAAACACACCCCTCCCGCCCAATACACAACCCTGCAGGCAACTCCACCTTCCCGCAGCCGCAGGCACCTGACTCTAATGCCAGGGCTCCCAGGAGCATAATCTGAACACCTTTGATGCTGACCAACTCTTTTACCAGCTAAAGAAATAGACCCCAGGGGGCCAACAGACCTGCCTAGAACCACCGCAAGGTTTCAGCCCTGAGAGCTGCACCAGGCCCACCCCTCCACTTCAGGGCTCTAGCCAGCTAAACCCAGCCATGAAACAGGTCTCCTCAGCCCTCAGCGCTGCATACCTTGACTTCCAGAACTCACCTGGGGCCCTGCTTTGTTCCTAAGTGCATGGGCCTCAGCGACACCCTGCTAAACCAAGGCAGCCAGCCAGTACTACCAGATGGGAACAGAATGTTTACTGTCAACAGCTGCAAACTATCAAATTGAGCTGTAGAAAGTCCAAACAGCGAGGACCTGGACAGAGCGAAGACCATTTAGTAGAACCATCTTAGGAGGAAAAGAAACTTAAGGACACCTTGAAAGCTACTTATTACTGAAAGCCAGTCCTCTGATGCTGAATAACCACACACACTCCTTCACCGCAACAATGTGCTTAGAAAACAACAGAAAGATTAGGAGAGAAGCCCACAGACTTGACCTCCTTGCTGCTTCTCACAAAAGCCCTCCAGAGGACCTAGTTTAAGTCCGAATCCACACTTGTCAGTTTCTCTAACCCTCGATTTGCATTTTCATTAGCCACTGAAACAATCCCAGATGACCTCCAGCTTCACCCTCCTCCTCAACTGTACTCAGAGGTGTGAGGATTAAAGGATTAGGGATATGTTTGCTTGAAACTCATGCAGCACAGTTACTGTCAAGGAAAAGGCATCCTCTCCCACTCCCCCCCCACCACCTACTTCTCAAGCTAGACTCTGTCCTACTCAGAACATTGTCATTGATCATGTTTTCCACGGCCCAAGTTTAAAATTAGGTACTAGGGCCAGGTTTGCTCACTGGAGTGCCACATATAATGGGTACTTAATGTTAAGTGATCACAAAGCAAAGCTGAAACCTGTGTGAGGTATTACACCACAAAGAATGTGGAAGAAACAGAACTTGCCCCAAAAAGCAAGGTTTAGGATTAAAACACATCCCACATATATTAGCAACTCAAACAATATGAGATGATTTCGGTGGGACAAGAGGCCCATAGGACTCACCACCTCCCCAGAGCAGAAGAAAACTCTTCAGAATGGCAAGCCGAAAGCATTAACACAAAACTATCAACTTCCCCACAACAGCACAACAGACCAAGGTGCACTCACAAGGAAGATTAGGAAGGAGTGGCCTGGGGAGAATGGGCTAGCAGGCACCACTGGCTAGGCACATGGGGTGCCCGCTCCCCCAAGCCCTGAAACATTCGCTCGATCCAGTTGCGTGGTTGCAGGCTAGAGCCAGGAGGCTTGGCTGGCAAAGTGTGGGGAAACCAATTTGTTTTCCTTTTCCCTCCAACCAAGTTTCCAGGTCAGAGGCTGGGGTGAGGGGAACTTCTAATAAAATTCAAATCATTCAAGCGATTCCAGAGAAACTTAACGTCAGTCTCAGAGATTCTTTAGGAGAGGGGGGGGAACACAATGTTTGAGCACTCATCATTTACCAGGCACAGCGCCAAGCCTCACAATACTGTGTTATCTCAATGGGTCTTTGAGATGAGGAGAGAGAACATTGTAAAGGCTTAAAACTCACCTTCTCCCACGAACATGGCTATAAGCCAGCCTGGGTCCAAAGCCCAAGAATAATCTGGGTTACCAGGTGGAGCAAAACAAACTGATTTAAAATATTGATGCTCAGCAACCTTACACTGGAGATACATCCACTTGGCACCTGAGCAGGCCACTTACAACAGACACCTTCACTGTCACCCTGCAGTGGCCAGGTGTGAATGCATTTCCTAGAAACAGCTGGGAGAAGGAACTGATATTCATACAAAGGGCTCTAACTAGACACAAATCCACTCACAGGCTTGGATTAGATCAGTTACTTGCAAATTCTGGGCCATCACCTAACAATACACGTGACAATACAGCCTATTCAATCCAGGTAGGCACTGAAATTTCAGTGATTTGCATGCCTGTAGGATCCAGAGGACCTCCGCTCACCCAGGGCCATACTTAATCTGTGAATATATATACCCAGGAATTATTACCCAGAACCCACAAAACTAGTTAAGTGGTGAAAGACGAAAGGCTCAACACAAGTCCAAAAGCTCTCGAAACATAACTTCACTTGTTTCCAGTGCTCAGAAAGTCTTAAATAACCAGCAGGTGAACCACATGAACGCCAAGAGAAGAGGAATCTGATAAATGATCAAATGATGCTGCCCTCTCTCCATTTCAAAGATGCTCTGTACCTTTAAAAGCAAAAGGGATGGGTGGTGCTAAGATTCCAAGCTTTGTTTTCTAAATACTTAAAAAAAACAAAAAACTAATTTGGGAAAGACTTAGCTACAAGGGCACAATGAGGTTACTCGTTGCCAAAATTACTAGCATTTTTGTGGACCGTGTACCTTGATCAGTAATTGAGACCAACCAACAGATTGTACAGGTGTCCAGCAGTCCAGATTTTCCTGCAGGAAATAAATTTAAACACCAAGTAGCCTGCACTTCAGTAAGGGAAAGATGGCTAGTTTAACCTAATTGCCGTGCCCATACCACACCCTACCCGGCTTGAGAGGTCTCCACTCACACCTGAAGCGAAGTCCACCGGGTTTGTGTTAGCGGCGGCCGAGGAGCAGGAAGGCGCCCACCAACCTGGGCATCTCCACCGGAGAGGAAGATCGCGAAACGCCCAGGGCTTCCAAGCTGTCTCAGGTCGGTTCGGCACCGCCCACCACCACCAGCTCCTTTCCTTCCTTAAGCCTCCCTTGGAGAGGAAACAGGAGGAACCGCATCCCAGGGCGCAAAACAGTTGAAGTGGTGGAAAGCCCGCCCCCGAAGCGTCCAGACCACAGCCTCTCCAAGCATAATTTTGATCCTAACCCCGAAACCAGTGTGGTCCCTCCAGACCGCCGGCCGGCGGAGGGCGGTGTGCAGGCGGAGCGCGACATGTGACCTACGCGCCCTGGGGCATGAAGTCAGCGGGCACACCGGGCAGGACGGCCTCCGCCTCTCCAGTCACCCTTTAAGGGGCTGCAAATGCGAATCCTCTCGAGACACCAAGGCTTGGACCTTGGGACCCTAACTCGGATCAAGTGGTCCCTCTACCCGAGACCGGTTCCAATAACAATCGGTCTGCTAGCCTATCCTCCCGGTTCCGCGGACAGAGCCCTTACCCCTGGTTCGCCGCACTGAACTCCCAGGGGCTGAGCTACCTGCTCGGTTTGGCCACCGCCGGCCCTATGTGGGGAGCAACTCAGGGCGAGCTCAAGGGGCCAGAAGTTGGGCGAGGTTCCTGAAGTGACCAACTCAACTCCAACCCGAGGGCGGGGAGAGGCGTGTCTGCGGGCCCTAGGGGACCTCCTCGCCCTTCTGAGCACCTGGCCCTGCCCACAGCCCGCCCCGCCGCTGCCTCTCCCTGCTCAGACTGGGTACACACGACCTTTGAAAAGTAAACGCGTGTGGGGTTGGGCGACCTTGGGTGGGACGCGCCCAGGTCTGTGTCACGGGAGGGCGTGCGCGCTCGGGGAAAGTTAAGCCTCAGAGGGGTGGCCCGGCGGTCGCGTCCTCGCCCCCCGCCCCCGAGGATGGTGACGCGCGTGGGGGGCACAGGGCGGCTGCAGAGCGCGCCCCCAGCCACACACAGGCGACCTGTCAGCGGGAATCCGCGGGCAGACAACCCCGGGGGGGAGGACGAGGGGGCGCGCAGGCGACGGAAGGGAAGGAAGGGCCTGCTTGACAGCAGGCGGCGGGCCGGAGAGCCTCCGCTCGCGCTCGGCGTCCGGAGCCACTGGTCCCCGGGACACCTGGAACGCGCGTCGCACCCCGCATCTGCACCCTCGGCTCCCCATCACCCAGACGGCATGGCCCTTAGGGCCCCGGCAGGTGGTCCACGGGCGGCCCCAACTTACCAGCTCCTCGGCGCCCGTCGGGATGCAGAGCTCTCGCGCCGCCGCCCCCCGGCTCCCGCCTGGGCCCCGCGGTCCGGCCCCGCAGCGCTGCACCCCGGCCGCTCCCCCACGTGCTCGCCCAGGCCGGTGGAACACAGAGACATTAAATACTGAGGACGCGCAGCGACGTGCCCGCGGCGCGACGCAAGGCCCCGCCCCCCGCCCTCGTGCCCCCGCGCTCGCTCCGCTCACCTGCGCGTGCGCGCCGCCGGCCGCTCCCGCCCGCGCCGCTCCCAGCTGCGCCAGAGGGGGCGCGGTGTGGAGCGCTCGGCCAGCATCCCGCCGCCGCCTTCCGCAGCCGGGCCTTGCTCGTGCTCTCGCGAGACGAGCTGTAATCTCGGCGGGGCTCGAGAGAGGGGCCTGGCAGGAGCGTTCGGAACCCCGGGAAGCAGAAAGGTGTGCTCCGCGTTTCCCGCGCGGGTTCTCCCGCCTCGGCTCTGAGCGGACTGGAGGGGTCAGTTGGACCACCTGCCTGCGTCGTCACGGAGGGCCCCCTGGAAAAGGCGGAGGGGCGGGTGAGCGGCAGGGCTCCCGTTGCTTCCCCGTAACTGGCCTTACATTGTAATGCATAGCCCCGTGGCCGTTAATAATTGCTTAATAATAACCGCGTAATGGGAGTGCCTGGCACCGCTTCAACGCAGCGTTCGTGCCCGTTTTCACAACTTGGTGATGTCGAAGTGGAACACTTTCCTCTAAGTGGGTTTGGCTTTTGGAATAATTCCCGTGAGGACATGATAATCACCATGAGTCACTGACTCCTCCGGGAAACTTGGGAAAATAAATTGCCCCCAGACAAGTGGGTGGGGTCCCGGCTGGCCAGGCCTGCGCCCGGTCCTAAAACATAAGGACTTGAAGTGAATATTGGTTTGGGCAAAATATAGAAAAGAGATCGTGCTAAGAACTCACCATTACTTGGGAAAATGCTTCACTAGTCAAATGCAAATTTAAAGGACAGTGAGATGCTATTTACCTATTGAATTTTAGGTATCAATTCATGTAGTATATGTGAGTCCTGATGCACAGTGTGATTAGTGCCATGAAGGAAACAAATAGGAAGCGGAAAGAGGAAAGAAGTAACAAGAAGAGACGTACTTTAGGTCCTGTGGTTAGAAAAGGCCTGAGGTGAAATTTAAACTGAAACCTGCTGGCTGAGAAGGAGCTGGCCTTGCAAATTGTACTTGGGAATAAGAGCTGGGGAATATGTCCTGCAGAGGCAACAACACGGGCAAAAACAGGAAACAGCTTCTGGTGAACTAGAAGATCAGTGTGGATGGAATGGGGGCGGGGGGGGGGGCAA